ACATGTTTTATTATTTTTCTTTGACTTGGTAGATTTTTCCAGCCACAGAGCACTTCACAAAATCCTGAACCACATGCTTGGGTTGGAACAGGTGGTATCACAAAAGGGTGCAGAGCCACACTGCTTCTGAAGAAGCATCTGCTTGTTTGAGTTAGGGCAATCTTGCACTCTAAATGATTTTACTGCAGGGATAATCAGTTTGTGGATATTATTGGTGCACAGATGCCTACTCTGATGGAAGTGGGCTCTGGTTTCATATTTTCTCTGTCCCATAGAGGTGTCCCCCTCAGGGACATCTAAGGAGGGATTAATCTTAGAGCAGTCAGAAAGACTCCACAAATGCAAATGGAGCAAGACTCATTTGAAAGTACAGCTGCTAATGCGAGAAAACTTGAGAATCTGGCCAGTAGCAAAACTGCAATTAGAGGTTTCAAGATGTTGAGTGAATGCAAGTAATGCTTCAGCTTAAGCAAGAGCAGACTCAATATCCAACTGATGTGTTTATCACAAATGTGGTAATAGAGATTTCTGGTTTATTGGCTGCTGTTTTGCCTAGTGTTCATAAATGACTGATACTTAATTAATTGAAGGCAATATTACAGGAACCAATCTGCTGACCAGATATAAAAGTTTTCTTTAAGCCAGCAGTTGTCATATTTATTTTGAACTCAGACAGGGAAGTTCTCAGTTACTATCTTTTCTCAGACAAAGTAGCAAATAAACATAAAAGCAACAAAGAAACAATAAAGATGAAATACCTGAAAAAATGTTTTTATACTTTTCTTTTTTTTCCCTTCCATATAAAGACTGTGTTCAGAAATAACTTTGATTATTTTTATCTGGAGCTTTTTTGGCTTTTTCTGGAATAGAACAGAAAATTTTCTTTGGTTATAGGCGAATCAGGGTCAAAAAGCAATCTCTTCCCTCATATTTCATGGTACACAAGAAGTAATCCTCAGGTAATCAATAATTCTGTTTATACCAACAAATAGACTGTGCCTCAGACCACATTCTGGCCCTGAGGCAGAGGCACAATGTGCTCACTTCTAAGAACACCACACACCATTATCAGCAGGATGGAGCAGATTTACTGATCTGGAGTGGACTCTTTCCCATGCTGTCTCCCAAGTCACACACAGTTACAGTTCTGGAAGTGCCAGCTGACAAAAACAATGTTGATATTTGCCAAAACTTGAGATTTAACAGTTTGATGACTGACAGTGAGTGCTCAGCACAAATTTGTCCAGTCTGTGCAAGTTAAGGCACAGTCCAGACCCCAAGCACAGAGGCATCTTTTTTATGTCCTGAACTGAGGAAAGCATGAGCAAAGTTTCTCCAGGAAATATTTCAAAAGTCTTCATCAAGACTTCATATATCCAGCTTTGTTTTCCTGCTCTGCCACGGTCTATCTGCATGACCTTGGGCAAGTCACTCTCTGGCTGGGCTGCAGACTGCAGTGAGCAGACTACTGTGCTCCCAAAGCAATGAAACCTGGCATTTTCCTTCAGCCTGGTTCATCTGCACTTGCCTACAATCACCCCTAAGTAGCCAGAGTGGATTTTAAACCTATCTCAGGCATTTGAAACCACCCTGCAATCTGTGCTCTGAGTGTGAATGTTGTGTCTCTGCTCCTTCCCTGTTGAGTGGAGAGCCCAAGTTCCTGTTATGGAGGGATAGTGATAGTAGAAGTATTTAGGGCTATAAGTTCTTCCAACACTACAGCAAGTAACGATTAAACAACTATCCTTCACATCCAGATTTCTTCAGGAAAAGCCAAGCAGTTTCATCAGATTTTGCAGCCTGATAGCAGCTGCTTCAAAACTGGAGCAGTTTGCTGAAACCTGCTTGAGGGGTCCCCACAAAGTTCCTGTGGGAAGCCTGCCAAGAACTCACCCCCTGACACCCTTCAGGCAGCCTCACCTGAGAGGTTTGAACTGATTTGGCTTCCATCAGGAGATGAGAAGGGAAACAAAGTAAAAGCTTCTCACAAGGCTTGAGGGAAATAATAAACTACAAGATGTTTTTGCAGCTCCTAGATGGAGCAGAAGCGGAACAGCTCAACACTGTCATTGTGTCCCAGACCACAGTTTGACACTTGACCCATGTCAGCTGTAAACTAAATACATATGGGGCACCTTCATGATTTTGAAATCCCCATATTGTTTTTAGAAGAATTTTGTTTAATTTGAAGCCATTATTTAAAAAAATAGCAAAACCTACCAATATTAACCAAGGAACATGACCTTTGGGAAAGTGAGGCAGCCTAGAAGATACTGGTGGGTTATAATGATGCAGGAAAGTTTAGCTGAGAAGAACCCCAAGAGCACGGATCACAGAATGTGATGAGCACTAGCTCACAATGAATAAGAACAGGCAGATTTGGTCCTCTTGTTTGCAGTCCCATGAGGTTTAGCCACAACTTTTCCTTAATGTCACAACTCAGGTATGAAGAAATACAAAACCTCACAGCTACAGTCACAGGGGTTGTCTCCCTTTGCTGAACATCCAGAAACTCATCTACCTAAATGGGTGCAGCATCTGAGATGTTTCTGTTTAAAAAAAAAAAAATACAAAACAAGAAATACAGACCTGAGTTTCCACATCCTTTGCTCACAGGAGCAAAGTGAGGGAGGTCAAGTAAACAGCTTGAGAGCTGGGATTAAACCAAGATTTTGCCCATGGTTTGAAGGAGATCATGAGATGTTACCCTTCAACTTCGTAACCCATGGTAGATGGGACAGCAAAGATGACAGAGATAAGATAGTGAATTAGTTATACAAAACAGTAATTTAATCCCAGCAGCTGGAGCCAAAGAGACCAGAGAAGGTGAGTGTCTGCAGACACACCATCACTGAAGACCAGCCCAGGTTCAGGGCTGACCACAGATCCATAATAGAGTCCTTAACATATAAGAAGAAGGAAAATTGTGGCAAAGTGTGTTTCTCTTTCTCAGTAAAAGCAGGACCCACAGAAATGGGTTGTAATTGCTGGCTTTTCTCTGAAGTTTAGTCACAGGCTTTGGTGGCTTTATCTTCTTTCACTGGCAAGAGGGCAGAAAGCTCCCTGCTCTGTCCAGTTTTAAACTGAGTTACTTAAGGGTGCTTGTTCCCTCACCCAGAAGATGAAATACAACTCTTTGGGGGGTTGAAGGTGCTGGGATGGTGTTTAGTAGTGCTCAGAGTTAGACTTCTATGTTTTGGGAAAACCTTTCTCTGTGTGTGAATTATATAGCAGTCCAATATGTAGCTAATTCAGACCACATTATCTTTTCCTTTGCTTTTATCTTTAAAAAAGGAGGAGCTGTAGGCAATCTTCTAATGAAAAAAAAAAAAAAAAAAAAAAACCCAAAAAAAA